TGATCTCAAGGATTTCGGGCGAGTATCGCGGCACGTAGGCACATCATAGCGTAACGGAAATTTCTCGTACAAACTATTTATTAGAAAATAAAATAAAATAATACATAATTTTGTTTTAATGATTCAAACTTAATGTTCAGTTGTTTTCGCGAAAAATATTACCTACTCTAAATCAACATTATAAGATAATAATTAATGTAAATGATAATATATATATATTATGATTACCGACTGTCGAATTTGATAGATATGGTAATAGATACCTAATGTACTGTCGATAATTGGCAACTACGGTCGATAATTGACTATATATTGCAATCTGTTGTCTAGCTTCATCATCGCCTATTCGAGACATTTGCCTTACATTTCCCAAAAAATTACAAACAAAACATCTACTTTTCGGAGCCATTACTTTCTTCAAAACTAATAGGACAAGTGAAAAGACCGTAGAAGATGCCACTTAAATAAAGTACTGTAGGATAGCAAACATAACAATAGAATTCGGCAGTTGGTGATAGCGTTGCGGCGATGCTGGCTTCGCGGTGCATTTTCTGTGTTTTGTCAACAATTCCATTAGAGTAGGAGTAACGGTGTTGCTCGGCATCAAAGGTATGTTAAATATCCGGATGGCAGTCTTTTAAATACGACCAGAGATGCCGCTAATAGAGAGTATCAGGAGAGTATAAACGTTGAAATTCTAACGGAGGAATAGAAAAAAGCGAATAAAAAAAACTACAAAAACGGGCCTTTTTAGGGCCACATAGTGTGCAAAATCCGATCGAGCAACCTCCTCATGGTGCACACTGGGTAATGCTAATGCCGACGGTGCTTCATGTTTATACGATGAAAGAAAAAGAGAATCATTTTTTACCTTTTGCGCGATTTTTCATTTTGACTCCTGAAGGGGAGTTAAAGCGTCGGGGGGTCAAGGGGTCATATTTTTTAAGGGTCCACAGTACTACCATTGGGTTTTAAGGGATCAAGTAAATGGACAGTGCGCAACAGTGCTTCTTACACTCAGATATGCTCAAACGTGGTAGTTTCGAATAAGAAATTATTATTGACTTTTGACCCTCCATATCTCGGAAACTATTCAACTTACGACCTTGAGCCCATTGGAACTTTTGATCAGGACATCATGAACTACATTATATAAAAAATTCAGCTAATTTAACTGGGGGCCATTTTCCATAAGATCTGTGCGAGGTCATTTGGCAATGAATTCTCTATGGGAAGTTTGAAAAATTTTTGGAAGGGCCTATTTTAATTAATAACCTGGCTAACGTTTATAATAGAGAAAGTGATTTATGTCATTATATGTATATCATTGCAATCTTAGCTGGAAGATTATGCACTATAAAGTGGAGTATATGGAAATAAATCTTCAATAATTTTATTATTACAAAGGCCCTATGGTATTACCTTGTATAATTTTGTAATTTCATTTTTATCATTTAGTACATTATAATATAAATAAGTATGTTACAAGAAAAATAAATCTATATATATCAAAGACATTGAATTTTATTGAATACATTATAGTGTTTTAATCAGCAAAAAATCAACAATGGTAAATAATGATAAACACGTATACTTCTACATCTCACCTTTTTATAGATATTAACAATATAATAAGCTTTATTTATCTTAGAATAGCTGTGTTTAACGTTTTTACGCATAAAATATTTATCTTTGTTATATATTTTATTACTCACATACTTTGGTATCATTTATACATTTAATTTTATGTACACTCTCTATATATAATATTATGCAGTAGAACTTTGAAAGCTTCTAATGTTCTAATTGAACATCTATCACATTTATCAAACATTGTATCCATAGCTCCTTTTTTCAATATTCTATTAGAATCTTTATAATAATGATTTATTATAATGTATTTTATAGCTATATTATTTTATACCTATATATATATCCTTTCTTCCAAATAAATATAAGCTCAACATTCTTATAGGAATGAAATATTCTACATCTGTAAATTGCACTGTCATACATTATTTTGACATTATATATGTTATTCATATTTGGCAGTGTTTCTGAAACTATTTTTTGCGAAACCTGAAAGTTAAAATTTTTTTCTTTATTTTCTTCTCTAATTTTTTTTGGTAAATAGTATAATTTGTAGGAGCACACTTGCTAAAAATACATTTAACTATTCCCTGTTACATTATATATTAATGAGTAAAAAGCTATTGGTAAACACAATTTGATGGATAACTATGAAATAAATAACTTTGTTATTTCTTAGCACCTATTGTCAAATTACTACACATGTATTGTTTTTATTTTATATTACCATATAGTAATATATTTTATATTCAATCCTTTGATACAATTTATCCTATATTAATTCATTTTCAGAATTCAAAAATAAATTTGCGTTCAAAAATATTTGTGTTACACGATAAGATTTTCAATTTTAAATTTTCAGAATTAATGGTTACGCATAAAATGTTTAAGAACCACTGCTTTATGGTATGGCATCACGTGAGGTAGTTACTCAACGTTTACTACACTCCTAAATATTCTACAAGCGAGTTTAGTTTTTCTTACGTATAAGAATTTAGAATATATCTTGGAAGATAGAAAACATAGAAATAATATTTTATGACACTTTTAACATTTGTAATCTTTGATTATTTAATTATTTTTTATATGTGAAACAAAATTTGGTGAATTGATGTTTTGCATGTTGTAAATATTTTTAAGTTTAGTTGTATAAAAACAAGCATTACAAAATTGTAATTTTTTATATATCGAATACTGAATTGATATTGATTAATAATTTTGTAAATAAAGAAAGACAATCATTACACAATGTAAGAGTTGCATAAACCGATTTTTTTAATACTTTAGAATACTAAATCTAACGAAGAGTTTACGTAGAATTTTCATTTCTAATAGCTTTAAGTTCCTTCCACGATACATAATTTAAACACGATACACTTGATGATTGTATTTCTTGCGGTCAATAGTGTCGCTAGCGCCGATTGAATCGGAAACTTGTTCCAAAACTCACGTTTAGGAACAGAAAAGGGGCGTGCTTAAATTTTTAGATTTCCTAAGTTAGAAATTTAGAAATATAGAATTCTTCAAATTTTTGAATTTTATAAATTTCATAAATGTTCAAAATCACAAATTTTCAAATTTAAATATTTAAAATTCTATTAATTGAGAAGTTTATGAATTTTCAAACTTTCAAACTTGCAAATTTTTGAGCCCTGCATGGAAATATTTTATATTGCAACATGCCATAGCCTTGTTCATAGCAATATAACGAAAGTCATCAACAATCGCTGTTACTTACCACTGGTTTAACGCAGTGTTCAAGACAAAATAATGTTGCTTTTAGTTGCAGTTCTATAATTTTTCCTTATCATCCATTAGTACGCATGAACAGTATTGTTTCGCTAACAAACGACGTGTAGTAATCCAAGATTAGTATATCCACCATTATATTTTCTTTCAAATAATACTTCAATTTAATTTTTATTAAATAAGTTTAAGATGTAAAATAAAGTATATAGAAGAATTTCGCTATTGTATATATGTTTTATTTGAAAGAAAGTATGATACGTGAATTTCATGAACACATATATAAGTATTTTTCAATTTGTGTTTTACATTCATTGTGTTTTACAAATGCATAGAACACGTGTTGGTATGCGATTTAATTCGCAACGATATGTTCGAAATATTTAAATTATGTTTTATCACTTTTCAACTTTATGGACATGATATTTTAAAATTGAAATATTTCTATAGTTATTTACAATAGGCTCGATGTTTCAATGATGTAACAAAAACAACATTTTGGTTACATTACAGTTTTTGTTCCGCGATATTTTGATTAATTCTTTGATTATCGTATTTGATTCACGCTATCTTTTTTATTACGTTTAAAATGATTGAGTTCAATAAATAATTTTAAGAATACCGGATATACATATTTATTTACGTTCATCGACGAAAATTGCGATATTTTTTCTTCTGCAATATATTTTGCTACGAATCACATTGTAGCACTTTCTTAAATTTATTCATAGTTGAATAGTGATCATCAAATCGTGAATATGAATTTCCATTAATATTCGTAGGAATCGAAGCTGTGCATTGTTTAATTGAGGCTATTGAATTTTCGTCTATTTCGTTTAAAAGCTTATAATTTAAGTCTTCTCATATTTCAACGAATTTGCAAAAACTGTAGAATTGTTACTTTGCAATCAAAAATATAAAATTTCATCTAATCGGCTTAGAATATATGATTGCATTTTGACTGAATAATATTTATGAAATTTTTTTTATATCGTATTAGTATTAAATAGTTTTGCATATCATCATTAACGCAACTAGATAGAGATGAGAATGGGCATTGTTTGTACTACGAAAATACAGATTGATTCTTCTTACATAACGCGAAAGACGAAAGTCATAGGATACTTCATGAAGTACTTTATATGTATAGTTCATGTCAGAAACACCGATATTTCCAAATGTTCTAATTTTCAAATTTCAAATTCACTATTCAAAAACTTTCAAGTACTGAAATTCTCTTTCTAAAAGTCATTTGGTCACCCAACAAATATCCTAGTTATGTCAAATGATAATATACTGAAATATACTGTATATGTATATGTATATAAAATTTAATGCAATAAGATTGTATAGAGTTCTTTACGATTTCCAATATTTCGAAGGATGAAGACAATTACTGAGAGCGAAGATTTACAAAAATATTATGCAGCTTTATAATCAATTCAATAATTTTTTATATTTTTTAATGAATGTCACAAAAATACAAATTCTAACTATATTTTTTCATTTATTGAATATATAACTGCATTGCAATTATGTGTTTTTCTCCTTTTTTTACCATTGGTGCAACTAAATGGTAAACGGTGCAAGTTAAAAAATAAATTTTCATATTTTGAGAAATTTAAGTTTCGATATTTCCAAATGTCCGTTCTCAAATTTGTACGTTTGAAAATTTTCAATTTTCCAAATTTTTACATTTCTAAATTCAGTGTCTCCACATTTCGTAATTCCGTAATTGTCAAATATTTATTATTCATTTTTTATTGTTTAGTGTCAATTGATCATGTCTAGTATAGCCAATTCGTACCAGCAGAAAACCTGGCTCAACCTAGATGAAAATTTTAGTTACGCCAATGACCTTTACATTTCTCTAGTTCTTATAATAGTTTTATTACTTTGAACGAGTTTTTTGAGAAATCGTTTCGAAGCATAAATCCTGCTAGATCCAATAATTTACATTTAAGCATTACTACTTAATTTAAGAATCAGAGAAATACAATAAACACAGTTTGATATTTCAACATGTTTAGTTAAGTATTTTAATTATTACATCTCGTGATGCGAAAAGTAGCGAAGCATTTTTTACAAGTAATAAAATCAACACAGCATGTTTAAGGCTTCAATTTTCGTAGATATTTACAAAGCTAATATACAGGTTGTATGTGTATTGCACTCGAGCGCCACGTTTGCTTCTATGTTTATTTATGCAGAATCATCTCATAGATTATCTGTTAACAAACTAATAAACAAATTGCAAGGTATTGATTTTCGTTATGAGATTGATCTTCGTAATTCGAGAGTTCTTTCTCTTTCTTCTTTAAGGCTCTTCAATTATACTTAACGTGATTAGCGTCACGTTATATTTTCTCGTTTGCTTCGTCTCATCACCGTAATACCTATGGAACCTCTTATTTTACGTAACAGATCAATTATATCAGCTGTTGACATATGTTCCACGCTTTCGTCGTTTACCTGAAATGAAAATGGAAATAATGGAAATAATCTATAGGGGCAGTTTTTAAGAAAGTTTGACACAATAGGAATAGCTGTCTCTAGTACAGTACATGAAGGTAAACACGGCTAGGGATAATAATTTTACCAATTTTTGCCAATCTCTTTATATCTGTGATATCCCGTATTATTATTGTTCATGTACAATAGTAATACTCAATATTTTCTTGTCTCTTTTATTTGTTTTATTGTTTGAATACCTAATTTGCCAAACTCTAAATTATAGTTTTTTGTAGTTTAGATTTTAGATCATTAGTTTTCAGTCTTAAGAATATAATTCCAATAATTCAATTAAATGTTTTTATGGTACTTAATTCCATTGTAAAAATATGATATCTAAAATCAGTGTACATGGTAACTCTTATAATTTTTGTCAAATTTGCTTAAAATTTGGAGAAAATACTTTTTATTGAATATTCTTTGGAAACATAATTATATGACTTTTACAACTCCTTAAGAATTAACGTTTTTATGTAGAAATTGCAAAGTAAAAATGACACTTGTTGTTTAACATCTATCAATTTGACTAAACAGCATATTTCTTTAAATTTTATATTCTTCCACGTTTTAACGAATTTAACATAAAAATATAAATCAAAATACTGAGAAAAAGATATAATAGACTATTATTGGAAAATAAACGATTGATATTATGTAATGAGTTATTTAGCAAAATGAATTTTTCTGTTTTTCTAATTTATTCTACATTAATGCTTACTAAGAAAATATGAACAACATTAAATTATAATGTTAAGAATATCAATTTTTCTTTCAAATTTCTACGTATTAAATGATAAATTTTCATTCTTTTCTGCCAGCGTGTATATACATGTTTAAGGAAATTACAAATATTAAAATGAAATACAAAATTGTTACAAAATAATACTACCATCATGAGCACATCTCCTTGTTTGAGCCTTCCGTCTTTGGCTGCTACACTGTCGGGATGGACCACTGATATAACAGTGTGGTTTCCTTCCGGTTGTAAACTGAATCCTAGTCGGCTGTTCCACCCACGTGTCAGCTCTACCATGAACACCTTTCAAAATAATAGTAACTACATTAATTAACTTATGTACGATTTAATATTACTTATTTTCCAGTTTGTTTAATTGGACAGTGAAATGTTTTAAATAAAATACGATTATTCGTTTATCTACGTTTCAATTCTGAGGAATAAATAATGCAATTTATTTGTAACTATGTAGTACACATTTTGAAAAATTGGTAAATAAAATATGTTCAATTGTATACAATTTATAATTGAATTAATCAATACGGAAAACATAATAAAACCATTGTCCATTATACATTTATTTAAAAATAATATTCTCTCCGTATATCGTATTACTCGGTGAGTAATCGTTTCTTCAGACTCTGAGCAAGTATCCCAGTAAAACATTTTTATGATTAATATAAAGATTCGGTGGAAAGTTAAATTTTGATTACATCCTTAACGACCTAGGTTGTTAAAAAAAGGCTAATATCTGAAATTATATATTCTTATAAAAATTATTGTTATGAATATAATAATGAAACGAAATTTTTGTTTCATACATAGAAAATGGACTATATTGTTTCCAATATTTTGCAAAATCGCAATTTAATCTTAGGAATGTTTTAAATATAATTTTATTATAATATTATAATTTTACTAAATGTATTATTTTGTCTCAATGATATCAGTTAAATATGCAATAAACGTATACTATATAGTATAATATGCATGTACAATGCCGCTCAAAAGTTAAATCTACTTTTTGTTTTTTAATAAATGTGATGTATTTTTTTTAACGATATTCATATCGAAAAATAGCAGAATATCTTAAATGTGTTTACGACTAGAATTAGAATTATATGTCGGACACTTTTTGAAAAAGACGACTAACATACAAAGTACTGTTTTATGCGAAAATTATAAAGTAAGAATATAATGTTTAACAATTTGTATCTGTGATTTGTGAA